CTTTTTTTCTTGTTCGGTTGAACACCTTCGATAGATTAAATTATAAATCGATAGATGTCTAGTTAATTTAAAGGTGGATCGGGGTTTTAATTATCGAAAATGTAAATATAAATCACGTTTTAATGAAATTTCTGGGGGACGGATTAATAAATGAGGGATGAATCGTTGAATTATCGGGAACGGAGGGGGAGAGGGTAAGAAAGAAGAAATGAATGAATGAGAAACTGATTTGCTGATTCGATGGAACGATTATAGGGGGAATTCGAGCTAGTGAATGGAGAGGAGAGATTATGAAACGAACGAGGCAGGTTCGGTAACTGAACGAAATAAATTACGCTTGGATATGGATATAATGGATGTGTGAAAATTTCATAAATTAGAGAATGAAATTCGCGTACGTATCTTTTAACTTCTCGTTCCGTTTAATTAATAATTAGAAGCGTACAACCGGCAAATGTGGAGATATCAAAATGTGAATGGATTTATGACGAAATTATTACGGAAAAGTATTAAATCCGACGATTACACGAGAAAAATTCACTTTACTTTTTTCTTTTAATATCCTAGTATTTTTCTTTTTTTCTTCTTCTTTTATATATTTTAATTGTACAGTTTACGCGATTCGAAAAAATTTTCTCGATACTGCTCGATATCTTACCTTTCCATTTTTATCTTCTATTTACGATGGTCCAAGAAAATAATTCATTTTTATTATTACCTCATCGAAAATTGCCTTTCCTTCTTCTCTTTCTCATTTTTCCATATTTCGTACGCGGTTTTCTCGATTGACAGATTTCCTGCGAAAATTGCACGAATTGCACTTTCCTTTTTCCGTTCGAAGCAAGTCGTTTCACCTCGTCGATAGATATTTTTCTTCTAGCAAAAATTTTTCAAAATAATTCTTTCTTTCTTCTTCTCGTCAAAAAAAATTTCTCCATCTTTTAAGGACCTTTTCACTTTCCCTTTTCTTTCTCTCCTCGCGTTTCATTTATATACGTGCACGGAACAATTCGTCATCTTATTATCCCAACAACAAATTCGATCCGCATCTTCCATGGCGACGAGGCGAGAGAGAAATTCGCAAAATTCGACCCTTTCGACAACCAAAAGCCCATCAATTCGAATTTCCTTGAAACAGATTGACCGGCATTCAAACTGGCCACTTTATAATCGAAAAATCGTAAAATCCATTGCGGTAAACAGCTGCTCGTCCCCTCGATATACACGCACGAATTCCTTTCTCGTCTTCTCTCCTTAAATTTTCGTTCGGCCGAGCCAATTTTCGGCGCAAAACCGATCCTCGAAACGATATTCCCTCGTCGAATAGCGTTCCATACGGCTGTGCGGACGATCGATTCCCGCTGGAATTCCGGCGACGTATTTCAGGAGCCGACACCGTTACGCGCCTGCCAAAGCTGTGTCACCTCGAAGAGCTCAAAGCGGCACCGGCCAATTTCGCGTTAATCGTGTTCAGGGTGGGAAAAGATTAGTTTCGCGTGGAAAAAAGAGCGAAACTAGGGGAGACTTAAGAGCGGAACTCGTCGACGTTTCTTTTTAGAGGGAATTTTTTTCAAAGTACGTTCTTCCTCCAGTGGAATCGTATTTTATACGTTGATCTTTCTTCTCTCTAAGGAATATTATATTTTCGAGTTTGTCGGGGGATTATTCGCATTTTCTATCCGTTGAGGCGAGAGAATGAAGAAGATTGAAGATTGAATATGAGGAATAGATCGATTGAGATTGAAGAAAGAAATTGATTGTTAATTATCACAAGTTCCTCGTGACGAATCTTGATTATTAATTTTCTTGT